GATGGTGTCCTTTGACGCACAAAAGTGCTTATTTTGATGAAGTCAAATTTATCTACTGTAATTTGATTGCTTTTGCTTTTGGTGTCATATCTAAGAAACTAACAGCAAATCTAAGGTCGCAAAGATTGATCTTTATGTTTCATTTTTAGAGTTTTGTAGTGCTAGACCTTAAACAAGTTTTCGATCCATTTTGAGAATTTTAGGTAGGTTGTTCAACGTTCTTCTTTTGTATGTGGATAATCAGTGCTCTAACCAGCATTTGTTAAATAACCTATTCTTTTTCCCTTAAATTATTTTGTAACTCTTGTCCAAAAGCATAAATGTGGATGGGCATCGTGGCTCAGGCCTATAATCCCAGCACTTTGGGAGGCTGAGGCAGAAGGGTAACTTGAGTCCAGAACTTCCAGACCAGACTGGGATGCACAGTGAGACCATGTCTCTACAAAACAAAGAAAAAATTAGCCAGGCATGGTGACATGCACCTGTAGTGTTATCTACTTGGTAGGCTGAGGTGGGAGGATTGCGTGAGTCTAGGAGTTAGAGGTTGCAACGAGCTCTGTTGGTGTTACTGTCCTCCAGCCTAGCCAACATAGCCAGACTCTGTCTCTAAAAAGAAAAAAAAAAAAGCAACAAAAACCAGAGCATGAATGCATGAATATATATTTGGATTCCAAAACTGATGTCATCTGATTTCTGACATATAGATCTGATTGATCTATATGTTTATCTGCATGCCTGTACCACACACTACCACACTCTCTTGATTATCATAGATTTGCATTTTCTTTGAAAGTAGGAAGTATTTCTTCCACTTTACTTCTTTATTTTAAGATTGTTTCAGCTATTTCTTTTAAATTTATTTCTTTTTTATTCTTTCGGGTGGGTATTTCCCTATGTTGCCCAAGCCGGACTTGAAATCCTTGTCTTTATTGATCTTCCAGCCTATGCTTTCAGATTAGTTGGGACCATGAGTATTACCAGAAATTCAATACTTGTCCCTGAGGCTGCATCAGAAGAATGAGGACAAGGGTTCTGAAGAGAAAGAAAGGGAGCTTTATTAATTTTGTGGCAAATGAGGAAGATGGAGACTCTTGTCTTTTAATGCCTGCGTCCTCTCTATTAGCAGATGTACAGAGCTTTTAAAGGGAGGGTATTCAGTGTCAAGGTATTGCTGTTTAACTACAGTCGATGGTTCTGATCAATCCCATCTCCAGCAAAGACAATCTCGTGACCTCTGCCTGGACAGTTCCATTGAGCCATGTCCTGTGGTACAAAGAAAAAAGGACACTTCCCTGCCCCTCCTGACTACTGGCCTGGGGAAGGCATGGAGGTCTTAATTCTCAAAAAGAGTGGGGGAGTTTTTAAAGAGACATCTTGGAACACATTTCAA